CTAAGAGCTTTATGGTGGGTTTTTTTGCTTGACTGTTGTTTTTTTAAAGTAGTATTTTGCTCTAAAATACAGTGACCACCAGCAATCTGTTGCGCTGAAAAAGTCACTTGTTTAAAATTTGTTAATGGTAAGGAGAAAAAAGCCTGCTTGAGAAAGTGGAGGAGCTCATTCAACATGTACATGTTAGTGCTTCGCAGCTGAGCAATGTGAAATTCCTACAGGTGTTTTAAACTTTTCAAAATGCAAAGCAAAACCTTTCATTTAAAAGTTAACAATGGAGGGGGTGGAACATGAGAAAGCCATTTTATACAGAAAATCTCACATCCATACAAAATAATTAATCATATCTGGCAATATATAAGCAAGACTTTAATTTAGATTCTTCTCTGCCCATGCACCCAAGACAAACCTGAAACACCTACAAAAGTTTCCTACTTCAATTATAAGTAGAGTAATTTTTCATCTGTAGATTTGATATGTCTGTTCTGCTTTCTAGTACTAAAAATGTAGACATCCAAAAAACAAAAGCCATCATTAGTACAGACCGGATTTTCATCTGTGAAAGGAAGTGCAGATTTTCAAACACATAAACTTCTTTAAAAAGCTGTAAGTTTTGACTTCCCTTGATTGGGCTGAGTTGCACTACTATTTTGATTTTGAACAGTTCATGAATATTGCAGTTCATTAATATTCTTCCCTGCTTTGCAGACACAAGAGTCCTGACACAAAATGACTCAATCAAAGCAGCTAAATAGATTATTGGCAGTGTCAGATGTCAAACTGAGCACCTAGATTCTCAGATTACTCTCTAACATAGACAAATCAGGTCATTTAAAAATTAAACCCTTCTGACATCTCTGACATCAAGCATTGTATCTATGCAGGAACTTAAAGACTACTTGCACCCATGTTCTGCACATGAAGGCATATAAGCAGAGAAAGCTGAAGCCCTGTTGAGTGATACTGGCAGCTTTATGAGCTCACAACAAGTTTCACTTTTTAACCTAATCCTAACACCTACTCTTACCACCCTATCTCACCAATATTATGTCAGTTAGTTCTACTAACTAACTCGGCACAGCAAAAAACAGTATTACCTTTATCTTTTTTAAAGTTCTTGCTTTTCATCATTTCCTTTTCCTTGATTTGTTGGTTGCTTCAAATTCACAGTATATGTAATTTTTTTCTAAGATGCATTATTTATTATTTGTCCATAGATGTGTAACAGCACAAATACTGCCAAGTATTGCTGCAGCAGCAGTGTATTCCTGAGCACCTGGAAGTGATTTCTGTAACTCAGAAGGTGACTTCCACCCCTCAAAGTGTACCACTCTGGTCTATGAGCTCTGGTCTGGACAACACACAGCATGCAAGAATCTCTTCCGTTTCTTTCAAGTGCTGTAGCTAGTCTCACGCAATCAGTTCCATGTGGCACTAACAGCCTGAAGTAACGTTTTTCATTCAATTCTGCTGGTTTTGCTGCACTTATATGCAGCTCCTCCTCAAGAGTGCTTTCCTAAGAGGCCAATGTATAAAAGGAAGTCCAATTCGCAGAATCTTAACCTTTATAGTCCAAGTCTGTAATCAACAGAAAACTCAAATTAACTCCTAAGAAAATACCTGGTACTGATTAAAGGGACAGGATTAACTTGGTACAAAAAATTACCAAAATGGTCTACCTGTGTAGAAGGCTAATGTTTAGTTCACCCCTACTGATTCTGCTTGAATAAGTCCTATCATTCATAACCCTTCTAGTGAGTGTTTCAGTAAATTTCTTCATTTTATCCACAAACAGGAAAATGAATTGAGAACAGTACTAACACATATGCCATGAAGCAAGCAAAAAATGCAGTGTTTGTCTTAATCATTTTCACTACTAGACTGCATCTGGCCAAGAAAGAAACCCTGAACTGTTGTTTGTATTTACCTGTTCCTTTCTAATTTTCCTAGTTGTACTATTTACAGCCTTATTTGGTAATTAAACTTGACAGTGTTTCTTGAATGCTTAGTCCAAACAATTTTCACACAATAATTACACAGTTCCTTTAGTGAGTTTCTAAAGGATATCTCAAATATAAAAACAGATTCCAAGGCTCTATTAAATTATAAGACTCTGGAATGTGGAGGGAAGCAAAGGTATTCTGGGACTAAAATCCCATCCCATCCTTCTCAGTAAATCAACCTGTTTAAGAAAAAGCAGCTTTTAACTCTCTATGACAACATTCTATTCCTTGCAATGATGCTGACTTGTTATTCACAGAATAAAGCAGGATTTACCACTATGTACCAAAAACTTCTCAGAGTTAAAATTTGCGAACAGGCAACTGTAGTACTCTTCTTCCAACACTTCACAAAAGCTCAATATCCATTCCAAAAACTACCTTCTTTTTGTCAAGTAGCAAGTCAAATGTGTCTTTTGGACACGTAAATCTGGTACCCCTCAAAGTATCATCCAGCAACACCCAGTTTTGCAGGACTGCTTTTCCAGATAAGGACTCACACACAGATGTGCGTGAAGAAGTCTCTGGCTGCTGGGAAACTGAACCCAGAATTCATTTCCCATAACCAAGTAAGTGGAGAGCCATACGTGAGAAGCTCCTTTTTCCTCAGCTCTTCTATGGAAGACAAGCCTGAGTCCCACTAAGGTTTCCAGAAAACACCTCTAGAGGGCGATTTAAGACCCTCCTTCGATTCACCGTGTGACACCCCCAGACCCTCCTCTGCCTTTAACACAGGTGCTTCAGCTGGATAGATGGACCATTTCCACGTTTTTAACGATTTTAAGGATGCAATCCAAATGCATCTTTGTACAAAGAAACATTTAATTGCAGTTAGCATTATGGTTTTAATTGGCTTTTCCTCCTAGGCCTGGCCACTTTGTCTATCCTTGAGTCTTGCTGTTCCCATCATGACATGGAATGCATTTGAATTCTGGTTGTTCCCTGATGTTGACTGCAAGTCATGTTCAACACCAAGTGTTGGAAGCATCTGAAATAAGTTTCAGGAAATTATCACAGCACCACAGGCATGGCAGATACTTTCTAACCTGAGCATGAGGGTATGTTCAAGTAATATAGAGCTCCCCAGCCATCAGTGGTCTTTTTCAACCCTTTGATGTCTATGTGCCTTCTCCCAGAAGGACTGCTGCCATTCTGCTGCCTTCAACCCCACCTCTCTTCCCCGTCCTGATCGTTCCATTAAATAAAATTACAGTTATGGTGACTTCACGACATTTTGCCCACAGACTTCTCCCTTGAATACTTAAATTAAAACCTACCTTGTCCTGAAGGATTTGCTGCCATCCTTCAATTTTCAGCCCTTGTTTTATTCAACTGTAGTTCAAATCTTTTAACCCTCACAAATATCTGCAAAACAGGCACAACATAAGACAGACATACTCCTTCAAAAGAAGAGCCTGGATTTCATTCTATTAGAGATTTCATAAACATGGCAACTGTCAGAAAGCATAAGCCAAACACTGCATGTGCACTGCTTAAAATGTATTATACAGTTTATATTGTTCTGATTGAACTTTCATCTTGAAATATCAAGAGCTGTGCTAATTCTTTTTCAGAGTCTAGTAATTTCTATTAGTAGCAATAGTAATTTCTAGTAATTTTTATTCTAGTGAGAACAACCTTTAGAGTTATTCTGGAGTCACACACGGTTTTCCCAACTGAATTTCTTCCTGACAACAGGAATGTCAGATTACATTTAAAATCACATTAAACCATTGTAGTCCTTAAATGCTAAAGCCTTTGAAGACCTCGGTTTAGGTTCCAACTCAAGAGAAACTGACTGTCTGAGGAGAGGCATACAAGGCCAGCCGAAAGTGGCTGCAGCTCTGGCAAAACAAAAAAGGAGCCTATTCCTCTGCCACACGTCACCTCGAGCCATCATCAACTTCTGCTTCCATCAAGGCGCCCGGCTGTGAAGACCGGCGGCGAAGACCACTGGCTGAGCCAGCCAGGCGGAGGGGAGGGACGAGAGCGCTGAATCCTACGGGAAACCGAACCAGGAGTCTCAGTCAGACTCCCACGGAAGACCAGGACGCTGTCACGCCTGGACCTGCGGGTCCCGGGGCAGCACGCTGGTCCAGCGGGGCAGTACCTCAAGGGCAATATTAATTAAGCGCAGTGACAGCGGTCGGAACGCGGTTATCCAAGAGCTAGGGACGGCCTGACCCACTCCTGCCCCTGCCTGCCTCCCCCAAAACTCGGGAATGGGCTCTCCCGCTCGCCTTTCTCCCCCGCCCACAAGGGATGAATACTCTCTCATCCTCGCCGGGCGGGCGGGCGGGGATGCTCCATCCAGCCGGGATGGATACCTGCCCTCCGCTACCCACCTGTCCGAGGGCTCGGGGCTCCGGCTCCTTACAGCCCCGCCACTCTCACCCGCAGCGCGGCAGCACCAGCGCCATCTTACCCCGGCTCGCTCCGCCGCCGCGCGCAAGTGACGCGCTCCCTGCGCGACGGCTCCTCCCCATCCGGGCACTTCCCGTCGCTGCCCGAGACGATCGGGCCGAGGGATCGGGATCGTGAGCGCGAAGCATGGCCGCGGTCCAGGGAGCGCTCCGTGCAACCTTAAGGCTCTGCTTTCCTGCCTCATCCGCCTGGGCACGGGAGCAAGCGCGAGAGCCTCACCCTCGGGTCACACTGTGGGGCCTCCAGGCAGCAACACGGTTAAATGGGAAAAAAATACAAGTGGAAGGGAAGGGGTCACAAAATCACTTAGGATGGAAAAGACCTCTTGAGATTGAGTCCAACCTATGACTGAACACCACGTCAGCTAGACCACAGCACTGAGTGGCATAGCACCATGTCCAGTCTTTCCTTAAACACCTTCAGGGACGGTGACTTCACCACCTCCCCGAGCAGCCCATTCCAATGTCTAAATCACCCTTTCTGTTGAGAACTTCTTCCTAATGTCCAACCTAAATCTCCCCTGGCACATCTTAAGACTACGTCCTCTCATCCTGTTACTGGTTGCCTGGGAGAACAGGCCGACCCCCATCTGGCTCCCCACTTCCTTACAGGTGGCTGTAGAGAGTGAAAAGGTCCCCCTTGAGCCTCCTCCTCTCCAGGTTAAACAACCCCAGCACCCCTGACCCCCCGCCTTTTTTTTTTTTTCAGAGTCACACAGTTTGAATACAGCAAGAATATTTGGCATGAATTGCAAAAGGTTTGTTCATGGAACCACTGCTTTTGAAATGTCAAATAACGGGCTTATAGATGAGAGTATCTTTTTAATTGAGTGATCCGGTCAAACCTGGAGGATAAGCCTTAGTCTTGTAACAGCAAACTGTGACTTTTTGTTTATGTCCTTGTGGTTAAAATCAGTTTGAATCAAACCAGTTTGAGTAGTGATTTGAACTGTGGCCTGTAGTAGCTGTAGCTCTGATTGTACGTAAATAAAATCAATTATTAAGAACTGCAATAAATAAATAATCTAAAAGACTGCAACAGATGGGGCCAACACTGACCTCTTGACAGCAAAAAATCAGTCACATTGCCTACTTCAGTTTTATATGCAGGGTTTTTTTAGGGCACTAAACAATTTTAATTACATAAAGGCCTTTTTTTTTTTTTACCAAATTGAAAGGTAAGTACAGGAAATCAGTTACTTTTTTTTTTTAAATGACTTCATTCAAGGCGTCTCTGTGTAGACACACTTTTACTTTACCTTTTTAATACTAAGGTTTTGATGGTATACGTAACAGGCATTTCTGAGCAAATGGCACTTCTTTACAGCAAAGGTGATATTGGATCTGGTTGTCAAACCCTCTATACACTGCAGGGTAATTTCGTGTGCTTCCTCTTTCTGTAAGTCCATTATAAGTCTATTATAAGTCCATAACCTCATCACTCTTCACGCCTAAAATGGAATAATGGCTTATTAAAAACTGTAGGTTTAGTTACAGTGGAATTATTTATATTGGTAAAAGCATACATAGGGTGTGCCTGGTGCTAAATGCCACACTAGTTCACTAGCTTGGACAACCAAATATATACATAAACGTTGAAGGCAATTAACAATTTCTTAAGGTCTGCTGCAGCTAGCTATACTAGATGATGAAGAAATAAATTACATTTTGAAACCGTACAGAATGTATAAAAATCCTGTCAGTATCTACACTAATTGATTAATTTGTCTTAAAATAGTGTGCCTTAGTATTATACACATAGATTCTGTGAGATAAGCATTTATACTTACTTTTCAAACACTAAGTGTAAAATTTGAAAAACTGAACGAATTTATGTCTGGAAACTTGCAACGTCCAGATGTAGAATTTAGTTACCTGGATTGTTTGCCTGGTAAAACCAGTGTGCCTGTGTGTGTGTGTTTGGGTGTGTGTATGTGTCTCTACCCAAACCAGGGGACAATCTCAGGGAGTTTTCTGTTTGCTTTAAAGCTGTGTTAATTAATACTGTGGAAAGCAAACATTGCTGCCATTCCCACATATGAGTATTATTTTCAACTGTTCTCTTTGCATGAACAGCTGACTGAGCACCTTCCCTCCTTCTGATTTTCATGTTTTGTTTTATTTCATTTTGTAATTTCTCATTGTGCCGTGAGAACTGTCGTATGTGCTATTTTTTTCCCCTTTTAATTATTCTCTCTTGGGTGATCTGCAGTCCATTTTACCTAGATATCTTGCTTGTTACCCTTAACTGCTGAGAAGCATTGTGAGTGGAGACAGCGCAGCACCCAAGCCAATAATCCTAAGTGGTGCATTTCTCTGCATCGTCATGACAGGACTAAGGTTGTTAGTGATTCTAAAAAAGCTGTAGTTTGAGACAGACAGGCCAAGCTGCTGGGCTCTTTTTGGACACAGCTAATGCTGTTAAGAAGAATTAATTAGTGGACAGTGGTCCTTGGCCGGGGATCAAGGAAGGAAGAAGTAGCAGGAAGAGGAGGAGGAATCATCAGCAAGGAAACTCGGGTGCAGAAAAGCTGTGACTCATTAATTCTTTGTTTCGGTATGAGCGTGGTGAAAATTGATTATAGTAACTTTGAGCATCTCTACAAAAACATAGTCCTGCCTCAAGTCAAATGATCCTTTGGCTTTGGGAGGAGTTTCATATCAATGTCAATTAATTTCCTCCTTGGGTTGTAGAAACAGGAAGGAATGAAGCCCTTGAAAGCAATCTCTAGTGTTTTAGAATACTTTCATTTTCCCTGAAATTACTCCTTCTTGTTCACCATAATCAAATAAAAAAATATAAAATGTAGCATTTATAGTGTGTCTATTGAAAAGTATTACAAAACTTTCAGTTTAATAAAGCTGTTCTTGAACGTTGCCTCACAAATCTGGCCATGCTGTTTCTTGAGGCAATATAATGCTGTTTTTCAGACTGACTGTTCTTGTCATGTTAGAGTAGAGGGATCTGTGTATCTCGTTATATAAAAAAACCCCTATTTTAAATTGGATGTGATACTGAATTATCAAAAATATCAGGATTTCAGAATGGCCATGGGCAGTTCTATTCACTAGGCTGAGGTAAAATAATGATTTACTTCTTGTTCCCCCCCTCCCGCACCCTGCTTAGTGAAAATAGTATGTGCAGGACGTCTCCTTGGCTTGAGCCAAGATCTTCCAGAATGCTGCTCTTATTTCCAATTGGCAGTGCTACTCATACAAAGCCATCCTAAACACCTCCTTTTATTTCGCTATTTATGGTTTTCGTGGTTTGTCACCAAAAAAAACCCCAAACCCTCAAACAAAGTAGAATGTTTTGAAGAGTCCTTAAACATTTTAGTTGTATTACTTTTTTATATCCAATTGCCTAAAGATACTGTGTCCATATATCCATACTGTCTTTCTCCTTGACTGGATTTCTGATTTTTCATTTGATAGCCATTTAGCATGGGCTTTTGCTTTCTATCACAAGTGCCCTATGTTCCCACTCTCCTGTTTATTGCATCCCCATCAAACTTGACAGCTTTGAAGGCTTTCGATGCAGCAAAAGCTTAGCGGTTAGCTTACACGTGTGTGAGTGCTCATGTGTTGGGTGCTGTTGACTTGAAACTGATCCCATCTCTGCAGAGAGTCAATGAGCAGGAGCATGAGATTCAACAGGGTCGGATCAAAAGCCTGCCCTCTTCAATCTCTGCAGTACAAGACATGAGCTCTAGTAGCATAAGGAAGGAAGGACCTTTTTCAAAAGACAGCTGGATTTTATTTTTTTTTTTTTACATCCTCTAGAATGGTCTCTTGTTCCATATTGGTTTCATATGTGCTTATGTGCAGACAGACACAAACATTATCCTCTCCAAGGTAGACCACAGTGGGGAAAAGATAAAGCAGTTGAGGAGAGGCTGTTGACAGCGTGGGAAAAGAGCTTTTACTGCCCTTGACCTGGCAAACCAGCCAAGCCTGACAGTATGACTGTTGTGGCCTCCAGCCTACCTTATTGTTTGTACTGTTTGGATTGTGCTATAGAGAAGAATCCTATAATTTAGGCTTTAAATAGAATACTTGATGAAAAGCAGGTGTGCTTTACATGTTTGGTCTAGTAAATAAATACAACCTGAAGTTAGCCTCCTGATATTGATTGTAAACCCTACTGCCATTTTATGTCTCATTATCTGAACAAGAAGATGAAGATGCATTACAAAGACAATGTTAATAAACAACTGAGAGTCCTTTTCAGCTCACACTGAGCACATATAAAAGCCATCTGCCATTAAAAAAGCATCCTGAGTGGTATTATTGGAGTAACTGGCACTTCAAATCAGAACAGCAGTACAAGATAGGTGCTGCCTGTCTTTAATTTTGTAAATAGTCTTCCTACAGGTGACCTGTAGATCTTTTCCTTATTTATCCAAGTAACAATCCAAAGAGGTAGCCTGCAGGACTTTGATTTCAGTGATACAGAGACAGAGCTATTTTCTTCAGAAAAAAACACATGAAACTGGTGACCTTTGGTCTTAAATTGGTGAGATTCTTGATCCTCAGATCGACCATTTTTCTTCTTGCCCAGTTAGCATTACATGCATACCTATCTTGTTTCTGATCTGAAATGATGTAAACATAATAAATAATAGTTAGGATTTTGCTAGGAGAGCATGCCAGTTTTTTCAGGTTAACTTGGGTTAAGACGTGGGCATTGAATAGCAGCCTCCAGTCAACTTGTCATTCATTTTCGTTTTCATTGTCTTTTATTATGGTTGCATATTTCATGTGCGTATTGGTTTTAGCTTGGTCAATGTTTAACAAAAAGAAAAATACCAATATAAAGGTCAAGGAAAATATTACAGTCATAAAATTATACCATCACAGTTGGTGGTAAGGAGTAGGAACTGGAGAATGGTACATTACCGTGTTTTTAATCACTCATAATTTCTTAGCAGACTTAAAATATTTACTTATTTCACTGCTGGTGTTAAAAAAATAGACGCTTTCCTTCCTCAGTTTTTGGCTATACCTCTTGTGCCTGCTGTTGGACCGACATGATCCACATGCTCGTGCATTTAGAGGTTTTCTATTTGTGTATATAAAACAATTCCTATAAGAAGTCAGCTACATAGCATGCCTTTTTTTTCTGTTTCGTTTCATGCACAAAAGATCTGGAATTCTTTATGACCTCTGTTGATAATGTGTGAGTAGTTCTAACCAAGGTACAGGAATTTGCTCCCAACTCTAATTTCAAATGCAAATCTTAAAACTGTTTTATCTTCTGTCTTTTTGAAGTTCCAGCCCTTGAAATCAAGTACACGAGACTGTAGTCTTCCTTGTTAAAAAAAATAGAAATGGGTTTTTCTCATGGCTGAAGAGGAGGCTCACCTTAATCTGTAATATGAATTTGCAGAGAATACAGCAAAGAAAAGGCCATCTAGTTGTAGAGATTTTTCAGATTACACATTTAAAGTTAATCAATTTTGACATATGATTTTTGAACTGTTCTCATAGAAAGATAGAATGGTTAGGGTTGGAAGGGACCCTAAAAATCATCTAGTTCCAACCCCAGTGGACACCTTCCACTAGATCAGGTTGCTTATATCCCCATCCAATCTGGCTTTCTTCTCATTCTCAGTATCATAGTTTGCATCTGCTTCTGAAGGTATCTGTCATGGTTAAACTGCTACCTGTATAATCTGTACAGACTTAGTACTTAACTAAAATCAGAGGAGAATAGACATCTGTCTTTAGTCAGTAAGTAAAATCTCTGGAGCATGGAACTTCTTGTATACAGGATAATTGAGAGGTCACCTTACATAACCTCAGAAACTAGACATGACGACTTCTGTAGCAACACATGTTATCTGAATAACTGGATCTTTCATGCTGGAAGGGACACAGGGAGGTCTCTGGTCCAATCCCTTGCTTAAAGGAGGCTCAGACATGAGACCAGACTAGATTCTCTTGAGAATCTCCAAGGGTGGAGACTGCACAATCTCTTTCTGCAACCTGCTCTGCCTCTTGGCTGTCTTCAGGGGGAAAAAATTCTTCCTAACATCCATCAGGAATTTCCTGTTTTGATTGATGTCCTTTGTCTCTGGTCCTCCTGCTATGGTCTGCTGTGAAAAGCCCAGTTCTCTCTTGCATTCTCTCCCTAGGGGGTACTGGAGGTTGCAATTAAGTGCCCTTGAAGCCATGTGTGCTCCAGGCTGAAAAAGCCTCAGCCCCGTGGCTGCTGCTTGTAGGCAAGTGTTCCTGTCATCAGCCATCTCAGTGCCCTCCTCTGAACTTCATCCAGTTTGTCAGCATCTTGTATAAACATCCCACAATTGAACTCAGTATATCTGATAAAGTGTAACAGGTGCCAAGCAGAGAGTTATAAACCCTGCCCTCGACCTGCTGCCTGTGCTGCCTGTTGTGTAGGCAGCCTGGATACTGTTGGTCTTTCCTGTAAGGATGCAGCAGGCTTATGTTCAGCTCGCTGTCCACCAACCCAAGGTTTTGATGACTAGAAGGTCATTCATACCTGCACAGAGCTAGAATGCCCCAAAGTTTCCAAGTGTTAAAGGTTTTGGTGTCCCTGACAGGCTTCCTTTGGAGAGGGATTCAGTTGGAAACAAAGTTGGGTGAGGATGCTTAAGGAAAAAGAAAGGAATAGCTCTTAGTAAGTCATAAGCCTTTGAAGTACAGGCTCTTGCAAGGGGAGGCAAGGGGAGTTCCCACTGAGGGGAACTAGTTCCTGAGCAGTGGAGCAGATACACAAACCTACCTGCTGCTTTATCACAATAGTTTCCACTTAAGATTTGGATAGTCTAGAAGGTGGCTGAGATGTATGTGTTTATGATAATTTGTATTGTTTTCTTTTCCTGATACATAGGTTGTTGTTTCTGAAGTGTCATTAACAAAGAATATTTCACAGACGCTTTCTCACTGGGGCCTGGCACTTTATTTGGATTTTGATTGTTACTGGAATTCAAACATTATGTAACATTGAATAGTTATTTATAGTAAGGATTGATTTTTTCCCTGTGATAAAAAGGATTTCTTTTTGTAATGACAGTCCACAGTGTTGCACTCTCATGCTTGTCCTGCTGTGTGGCACCTGGGATTGACACCTGTAAAACTTCCTAGCTTAGCTTTAGGCACTGGTGCTGCACTTTTGATTTCAGTGGATTGTACTCGCCCGGGAAAAGTTAAGACACAAGTGAAATATTTACAGCCTCCAAGTCTTGTTAGGTCAAGTCTTGTATGTTTATGTTCATATATCTATCTATAGCTGGAAGGGATTGTGACAGTCTCATAGTCATACATCACTTCCCCCAGTAGCATGTTACTCTAGTACATCTAATTAGTGCTGAGCACATTATTTGCAAAAAAATAATTAATCAGACAAATTTAGCTGCTTTATCTGCTGAGGGAATATCTTAAACCAGACTATTATTTTTCATCTATTTATTAACTATTCTGCAGTCATCAGCACTTTTTCCACATTATTAAATGCGGATAGATCACAGTGATGAATATGTGCTGCTAGACAAATTTGTATGGATCACTTCTACAGGATTTAATATAATATTTGAGTTCATTACTCTACAAAAAATGCAATTTCTCTCAAATGCAGTGAAAGCAGACACACAGCCATCAGTGAAAGCGTGTTTCTGTGGTTTGCTGGCCCTACGTGCAAGCATCTGCCTGTGTGTCCACTTCTGATGCACTCTCACCGCGAGGGAGGCCCAGGGGAAGGGCCTTGTCCCTCCTGTGCCCGGCTGGGGTCGGTCCTGCCTGGTGGAGGCGCCGCCGAAGCCCAGCTGCCATCTCAGGCACCCTCCCGCCCACACCGACACCGACTTCAGTGGAGCTCTCGTCCTGCACCAGTTTTCCACAGCTTCCCTTCAAACACGCACAAAATTTGAGGTCGGCGAACTGAGCCTGGAAAAGCCGAGGAGCTGGGTTGCTTTTCTGGCGCTGACCCGCCGTTCGACACCGTGCGGCACCAGCGCCGTCGGGGCCGTCCGGTGTGGAGGCTGCGGTTCCCGGCGGGGGCGGGCGGCAGCGCCCCAGGCTTCGAGGGTCCCGATACCTCCCGCAGCCCGGCCCGACCCGCCTGGGGCTTCGGCGGGTCCCGATGCCGGTCCCGATGCCGCCCCAGGGCCACCTCCCTTCGCCGCCCCCCCGGGTCCTGCTAAGGGGGGCGCTGTTCCCGCCTCGACCGCGCTGGGCGGCCCCGCGCCTTCCGCGGCCGGGCCGGGGCGGCAGGTGGCGCGGATAGCGCCTTGGAAGGGGCGGGCGGCGGCGGCGTAGGCGGGCGCTGCGCTCGCTCCTCCTCCTCCGCCGCAGCCGCCGCCGCCTCCTGCCGCTCCTCGTAGCGCGGCGGTGGCGGGCAGGCTCTAGCCGCGGCCCCGCAGCTCCTCGCCGAGGCGGCGAGGCCTCTGCTCCCTCCTTCCTTGCCTCAGTCGCTGCCTGGCCCCGGCGCGATGTCGGGCGGCGCGGCGAGCGCCCCCAAGCCCCTCCCGTCCTCCGGGCCCAAGTCGCTGCGGGAGATGCCGCATCCCCTGGCCACGTCCAGCAGCGAGGAGATGGGGCCGGCGCTCACCCCCAGCCCTGACCTGCTCCTGCCTCGCAGCATCGCCGACAAGGTACGGCCCGGGGAAGGGGGGCGCGGCGTGCGAGGGGCGGGGGGCGCTGATGTTGAAGGTGTTTCTGCCCCTCTCTGCTGAAAGAGAGCATGGAGAGGAGGGAGAAGGGCTGTGTGTGTCTTTCCACGCCACATCCCTTTTCCCTGCTTCGTCTCCCCGCGGGGAAATGAAGCCCTGGGCGCTGCTGGCATCCATTGCAAGAGCCCGGGGCTGCTCGAGCCGGGAGAAGGCACCCTTTGTGAGGGCTGAAGGCATCGTGTTCCTCGCTGTCACCGAGCTGGTTGCGAGAGGCAGTATTTTACTGCTTGTATCTGCCTGTGGCTCATACCCTCTACAGATAGGTGTAAATGCTTCAGGAATTGCTGCAGCTTCTTTGCTATCTGCCTCCTTCCTGTAGCCCTCACGAGGAAAGCTTGCAGCTGCGTTGTTTCCTTACTATCAAGCGTGCCATCAAATGGTCTGCGATTGTCCTTTCCAGGCTGAACTTCTGCTTACTGCTTCACAGGTCTGTAATACGGACAGGATGCTGTTGTAGGAGTATCTGTGCCCGCTTTCCCTTCTCTAGATCAGGCTAATGTCCACAGGACACTAGTGGACTTTGTGAAGTGCCTTCCCTGTGTGGGCCTTGAATGTGATAATTCAGTAGTGGCAGCACACCACTGTTGATACTTTAGCTGCACTTGCAAGGACTTGGTATCTCTGTAGACAGACTTCCTGAAATGTATAAGGTAGGATTTCCTGGGAGCAAGAACTGCAAGGGGTGATATTGGCTTGAAGTTTTATAATAAGCAGTCCTGGGCCAGCTGGCTTGTGCTGCTGGTGTTACTGAGTTGCTGGTGTCAAGAGGTGCTTCCTCCATGGCTGTTGTCCTGGGGAGCGTGGAGCTGTTTCTGGGCAGGATGGATCAGGCTTGGGGCTGTCAGCAGTATCTGGCCCAATACACTCCCATGTTACAGAGTGAGTCAAAGTAGCCTGGCCTCTTCCATGTTTCACCTTCTGCTGCCTGCATCTGTCACGTATGGATTCAGCACTTCTTCCTGCCCGTTTCAGGAGCCCTCTCCTTGAACATGTGCCCACTGTTGCTCTAGTGAGAAGCCAGGCTTACCTTCTCTCCAGGAACATATGCCTTCATCTAAGAAGTTTGTCAGTGTTGATGATCTGCTGAGATAAGGGATATATGACTAAGGTGGGTGTAGAAATTGTGAAGGTTTTTGTCTGAGATAGCTTGGATTTACTCATGTAACTACATTCCTGTCTGACCAACTTGTAGCAGTAGAAGTTGGCAGCCGCCTTCACAGGTCTTCTTGCAGCTGAGAAGTACAGCGGTGGTACTCGCTGTCCATCCACGCTGCTGTGTAGCTGCTGAGAAAAAGTGTTCTGAGGAGTAACTCACACCTGATAACTTCTTCCCGCAATTGTATTCAAGAACTTTTTTGCTTTTGGAGTGCAAGCCAGCTCCTCTCTGCTTTACTGCTTTGAGGTATCTTGAGAAGTGTATCAGTATCCCTCACAACCTAGGAGCAGAAAAACCTCTCTAGCCTCAGGCTATGGTCAGCTAACTTCTTATTGGTAGGAAGGTTCTTGCCCAGTTATTCCATCAGCAATAGAGGTGAAGTCTGTCTTCCGGTACCTGTATGTAGTACTGTTGGCACTTGGCAGCATAGTAGTACCCTAAAGGGGAGAGCAAAAAAGGGCTGTGGTAGGCAATGTTTAGACTTCAGAGCAGTTCAGTAGTTGACCTGGAAATGGCACTAGGCTAATGATCCTTGAAGAATAAAAGGACTTCCAGTAGGAAGAGAATAGCATTCTTTTTTTCTCTTTAGCTGAATTAGCAGAAGAAGCCAAATGTCTTATCCTCCTGGTAGAAGGAGTCCAACTGTTGTGCTGTGTATGGGATGTCTCTTTTTCTGCTTAATACCTCAGGCACTGGCAAGAAAAAAATGTGTTCTTTCCCACCTCAGAAAAAACTTCAGCAAGCAAACAGGTATTCCTGCCTTTAAGGCAAGAGTAAACTTCCACTGCTTGAACTGTGTATTGAGTAGTCTAGAGAGTGAGTAGGGTAACTGGAGATAAAATAGGTAAAACCACCTTATAGGTCGTTACTATGTCTCTTAGTCTCAGAATCATAGTATGGTTTGGGTTGGAAAGGACCTCAAAAATCACCTAGTCCTCAACCCCCCTACTGTGGACAGGGACACCTTGCACTAGACCAGGTTGCTCAGAGCTCCATCCAGCAGCCTTGGACACTTCCAGGGATCCAGGCATCCATATCGTGTAACCTTAAGTCTTAATCTCTGATTGTGGGTCATTAATATTTTGAAAGGCTGGCTCACTAATCAGCTAACAATGTTGAGTTACTTCAATAATTGAGTAACAGAGGGAAGTCGGCATTCACATCTGATTTAGGCTTAAAATTCTGCAGCTGTTATTTATCGATTCTTGAGTAGGAGCTGTGCTCATCTGCTTCCCAAGGGCCTTGATGGAGAATCTGATGGAAACTGGTACTGCAGAAGTTTTGGTTGAAGTCTCCTGCTTCACAGTGACTCTGGGTCAATTAGATTCTTTATGGACTACTCTCCTTATCCAGGCCTATACTAGGACATCCCTCTGGCAAGAGGGCTAGTGACATTAGCTGGCACATCACCATGAAGTGGATAACTTTCTTTTCTGTGTTCCTCATGCCTTCTCTGAGCAAATAATTCCTAAACACTGCTGCCGCCTTAAAGTACCTAAGACTGAAATCCTCTGAATGGAGAAAGTTTGGATGTAAAGGGAGATTGTTTGCTGATAAAGTAGTGCTTCAGTTTTCGCTGCCACAGATGTGCAGCCTGAAGTGTCTGAACCTCTGCCATCACTGCTTTGCATTCTTTAAAGCATGCTTTTCTTGCCTTTTTTTTTTTGAGCTGTTGAATAAGAACACTTCTTTATCCTGAGTCAGAGAAACCTGGAGGACAGGAACACCCCTGTTTGTATCCTTTTGAGTTTTGATTCAAACATGGGAATAATCTAATAGTGTAGAGCCTGTGTAACTTTGAAGTCTCATAAACCTTAGGTTGCTGTTTAAGAAAAGTGGCTAATGCTATTAGAGCAGTTGGTCATGGGAAAGGGAAGGAAAAACTGAGCTGTTTTCTGAGGCCACTAAGTAGACTAGTCTCAAGTTTTCTGAATCTTAGGAAGAGAGCTGCAGAGCTTTTGTAGTCTGAAGTAGCGTCCTCATCCTGACTTGTAGTGGAGAGCAGTTTTAGGAGCAGGACACCTCGACTTTCGACAACGTCTTACCTCTTTAATGAAAAGGTTATTTTAGTTAAGTACTTGACTTTCACAGTGATGTTGCAGCAAACATGAAACACTTGAGTTGTAGATACTTGCCTCTGAAGCATTTATATATTGGTCAGGCCTTTCTGTAAGGATCTTTTTATTCTCCTGAAGTCTAATTGCATAAAACATTGTCTTGATACCTGACCACCATCAACTTTTTTTGAGCTTATTCTCCCTTTACCCGTGCTAGCTTTCAAATAAGGAGACAGCTAACGTTGAACCTAAGCTACTGAAAGTGTTTGTTGTGGTTTGGTTTTTTTCTTCTTAATTTTATTTGGTTGTTTATTTAACATCAGGTAAGAGGGGAAACAAGCAGGAGAAAACAATTCCTCAGGATGTACAACACAGCGTGTTGCAGAGTTAGTTGTAGAACTGAGGTCTTGCTGTTTTAGCTTTTGGAAGACATGCAAGCTAATTGAGGTCTGGTTTTCAGAGCAGATCCTCTGCTGAGGAGGGTAAGACAAATGGAGAAATGTCTGTGGATTTTTCTCTTCTTTTTCCTTTTTAATAAAAGAAGGAAGTTCGGCTTCCACATGAATACTTGACTCCAGTGCACTAGTTTGTCACTTTTGATAGGGAATCTACTCTGTGCACTACAACAAACACTTTGACACTGAGGAGAGAAGACATTATTAATGGGCCACTGAGTTTGGAGCAGAGGTGAGAAGTAGATGGTATTTTGCTATGTTTGGATTCAGCCTCACCGAGGCTGTGCAAACCTACTGCTATGTGTTGGAAGTGCAAAGCTGTGCAGAGTGAGAAAGAGTGTTCTGTAGGGTATTACTTCCACTGTCCTCTAGCTGGGGTCCTTCTAGACTTGTATCATGAGGGGATCTTCCTTACTCTGTGGTGTTGGCTGTTCTTGCTATGGTCTGCCTTGAGGCTGGCAGCTATCTGATAAGAATCCTGACTCACAGCACTGGTTTCTTTCCTAGCAGTCCAAAACCTTTCGTATCCCACCTACTCTCAGACTCAGACTGCCTTGTCCTTTTTTGGACATCTCTGACTACTTGATACTGTACATGTGGCCAGCTACCTGTAACTTTCTCAGCTTTTCTTCTTGGAAACTATGCATACCCTGCATTTGCCTCTGTTAGCTCTAGACAGCTGAAGTGAGCTTCAAGGCTGTTTTACAGGTAGTATATCAAGCAGCTATCAGAGCTGATGTGGAATACCAGGCTTGCAGTGAGTGCATGGCTTGAATGTGATAGTTCATGGAGATGGACATTAAAACTCCTACTGCCAACTTTTGGTTACTAACTGAAAACTCTTACTTGCATGCTCATCTGCTTCCTTGCTACCACCCTGGTGAATTCCTGGACTTCTTATTAGCACCTGATAGAGTATAAACACTTGATGTGTTTGCTGGAGTGCTGTTACTTAGCACTCATTTTGAAAGGGAGCCTGGCATCTCTCCAACTCCAGAAAATATACTGAGAGTCTGGAGCTCTACTTCCAGCATCCTTGGTTGCTATTTTATAATTATTGCTCTTAACTTTATCCACCCACAGATGAAACCAGTTTGCAGTATAATCTGAAAACTTAAAAATAGATCTGCCTAAGCTTCTACAAACCTCTTCCTTTTCTGACTAGATGAGAACTTAAACCATGTATTGTTCTTAAAGGAAGCTAGAGGTGTATTCTCAGTTTTGGGAGAGACTGAAGACTGCAGAAGGTCAAAT